TGCTACAATTACACTTTTGGTTTATTAAAATTGCTAATGAAGTAACCTTTTAGATACTTAATTCTATAACAGAATTGTACAAATTGTCAATACATTTAAAGTTTACAGGCAACATGCTCATGAAAATCAGCACAATAAAACAATAGGTACACTTTAGAGGAAATGTGAAAAATGTTTCACCAAGGACAGAGTATTGTTTTAATGCAATGCCACAGTATTCCAGTATTACTGCAGACAAACTGACATTTCTCCTTCCTAAGAACAGTGAGGATCAACGACAGAACATTCCCATTCACTGGACCACAGCACCTTACAGAAACCTACAAAAAAAGAACAATAGAGCAATTAAACAGAGAAAGCATTTGTATTTTAAAGAGTACAGAAAAACGGCACAGAAAAAAATAAGACTTACAATTTTAAGACGTTGTGGACTTGCCATGTATGTGACATCATCAGAACTGACGATGACTGGGACCGGATGCCTGGGGTGGAAAAACATTTCTGGGTGTCTTCTTTGTCTGTTTATGTTAGAAGTAGATAAAAATAGTCAGCAATATCATAGAGTCAGTTGATGTTGTCATTAACTATGAAGCTGTTTTAAGTGTGGACTTAAGGAGACAAACTACCTTAAAAGTTTTCCATCCATGATCTGAACACAATGATCCTTGCAGGGTGGTGAGGGGGGCTGGTGGTGCCCATCTCCACCAGTCATCACATGAGAGGCAGGGTTCACCCTGGACAGGTCACCAGTCCATCACAGGGCCCTGAAAGCCAACAATGAATATAATGAATGAAAGAGAAATGTTAGATTAACAAAGGGGGTAAATTCTGTCCAGTTATTTTTAAATCAAATCATGTTTATTGAGCGCTTAGTGTTGGTAGCACACCAGTTTTTGCTGTTGAAAATGTAGCTAAACTGGTCAGTAAAAAAAAAAAGAGACTTGCACCATGAAGACGATATGGAGGTTCATCCTCAGAGCTGGTTGGTGATCTGGTGGAGCCAGAGCCTGTCTGAGAGGGGAAAGTCTAGGTTTCCTAACACCTGATTTCTCTGCTTCCTCTTTCATCTTCATTTGCTTAGACTGCAAAAATATGTTGAAGATAAAAACATTGATGAACGAGTTATAACAACAACCTCACAATATTAAAGTCTCTATGTCATATGGAGCTTAATTAAAACCAAGTTAAGTTCATGAATAAAAGTATATTAAGTTGCAAACAGCCTCCATGCAGTTATAACATGAATGATTGCTGAAGTAATAATCATAAAAGTCACCATAAAATTGATAAAATTATTTCTGAAACCAACGTAAGTTTGTTTACATCTTTACTGCACAGTTTATAATTAAACAAAGATAATTAATAAGCAAACTTACCACTAGCTAGCAACATGTTAGCAGCCTTTGTCCCTTCGGGCTCCTTTTGTGATCCACATTTTAGTTCCATCGGTTGTTGTCCTGTTGTGATGTCGTCTAACTTGGACTAGGACGTCACCCGCTTGAATTTACCAAAACTTCTATTATCAAGGCCTTCTCTACTTTTAAAGCCATAGTATGCAAGTAAAAATGGCGAATTTAAACAGCGTCGGTTATCTTCCCTGGATTCAAGGCTTTTCTTCTCTTTAAGGCGTTTAAAAAAAAAAAAGAAAAAAAAAAGAAAATGTGCAATACCGCCACCACCTGGTCTGGAGTATGAACTGCAGCTAATGCCATTGACTTGTATATTACATCACACATCTGAAAATGGATTGGGTACTTTGTTGAACATTACATCAGGATTATCATTTTTTTATTCTTTGCTTGAGCACATATTTTAAGATATACACAAAATACATTTGACAGATATTTTAAATACCTTTTACATATACACTTGAGCAAGTGTATATTTACACTTGGGCAAATACATATTTTGTTCACTTAAAGTATACTTTTATTTAATATATTAAAAGTGTATTTTGGTACAATTATATTTAAGTGTATTTAAAGTTATAATTTCAAAATTGGTACAAGCATACTTTTAGTATACTTAACATATATCTATAGGTAGTACACTTATACTTAACGTGTACTTTCACAAATGTAAGTATGTTTGAAATATACTAAAGTATTTTTTTCACTAGAGTATGCACACCTCATCAAATAAAGTGTTACTAAAATGGTAATATATTGAAAGCACAATGGAATTAGTTTCACCTGTAAAGTGTGTTTTAATTGACCCTTCTGTGTTCTGGTAGCCTGATGTGTTTGCAGTACTGTATATATGAAGCATATAATGTACAAAGTGGCAAAGCAGAATAATAAAAGACATTAAGTAACTAAAAAGTGTACTTAATTAGCAATTATAATGAACCAGAAGTGTAATTGTAGCATACTGAGTAATATATACAATATATAATGCTAATATACTTAAATACATTCTAAGTATTTTTTAAATGTAATTCAATCACAAAAATAGTACACTCAAAATATACTAATAAAGCACGTTTGTACTACATAAAAAGCAATATACTTAAAGTATACTAAGTTCAACATAAGTTGTCCAAAAAGAGTACGATGAAGTACACTTTAAATTGTACTTTAATACTATTAATACTATTTAAATACTATTAAAGTACATAACTAAGCACAAAATTAGTTGTCCCAAAATGTCACAATTTAAGTTAACTAATCCTAAGTGAACTTGAAATATACTCATGATTAATCTGATTTAAAGTATGCTCAAGTATGTTAAAATTTAACATACTTAGCATATTAATTTTTCACCAGGGTGGAGCACAAAATTATTACACAGTTTAATATTTCCAGAAACAATTTATAAAATGTGAATTTTTTTATAGCATTTATGAAACAGTATCGGAACTTTTGAAATTCTTGACCCGTCTTTTGAGACTAGTTAATCTGAAACTAAAGCTTTGAACATAAAGTAAACAGCTTTATGGTCAATTTCAGTAGATAAATCACCAATGACATTGGATAAACGGTTATCCTGAAATGATCAGTTGTCACTCTGACATTTGCATATTAAGCAGTGTGTACCTGAACTTAATTGACCAAGCTAAGACAGTCCTCTTGACGCTGATTGGCTGTCTTCGACCGGGTGCGGTGCATTTCTTTAGACGGCGATAGTAGCATTGGGACGAGGCAGAGGAGTTTTTTTTTCACAGATTATCTGTCTCATATACCATCACGACATTGTGACAATTTTAATGCACACAATATTTTAGTAGTTTAGTTAACAGCTACTTATTTAGTGAGCTTGCTTATTAAAGTGTTTTAACTACCAAATTTAAGGTTCATTTCTTTTTGTTAAATTGTTAAAGAGAAGTAGAATGTGCTTTTTGCTGTATGTGTGATCAAAAATGTCTCATCAGACAGGTATTCATAAATAATAACTGAGAATGAGAGTGATTGAGGGCAGACAGATACGCTAACCAGTTATCTGCTGAAGTCCTGTCCAGTCTAACCCAGTTGATTCTAAACCAATGACTCAAATCTGATTTTCCACCTATTTTTGTTCCCTTAAACTAGCACTCAGAAAAATAGTTAGACCCCTTTACAGGCACCCAGACCCCCCAATGAATGTTAATTTTTTTACCTCTGGACGTGTTGGCTCTCTCAGGGTATTCTGGCTTCCTCCCACTGTCCAAAAGCCTGCCAGATTGATTGGCTACTTTAAAATTTCCATTTGGTGTGAGTGTGCGTATGAATGATTATGCGTCTCTGTGTTGTAAAATAAATATTTAACAAATGTAAGAAATACTTTTGTTGTAAGCCCATCACTTAATGTATATATCCTCTAATTTGCTTAATTTATGCAATAATATATTTGTTGGTAACAGTAACTAAATTACTGATATTTTTAAAATTTTGTTATTATTGTCATCATCATTAATAATAACTTCATTGTACACTACATATGAAAAAAATACTTCCAGTGTAAAACATACACTCTGCAAGCACTAATGTAATTTCTTATGAATAAGAAATTATGAATTTCTTTTTGCTATAGATCTCAACTCTTCAGAGACAGATCCACTCTGAGGAGTCAGATTTGCAAAATCAGGAGGAAGAGCTTAGCCGAGCAAAGGCTGACTTGGACCATCTACACCAGGAGGAAAGACAACTGGAACAGAGCCTGGCTGCTGGCAAGATTCAACTGGAAACCATCATCATTTCACTGAAGTCGACTCAGGACGAAATCAACCAAGTAGGAGTCGTTCTCTGTTTTCTGTTTTGATTAATTATTTTTATTACTACTAAAATAGAAAATATTGAAAACATTTTTACCATGGGGACGTGTTAAACTAAGGTGTGTCCTCTCATTAGCATTACATGTGTCTTCAAGCTGAAAATCAGCTAGTTTGACTGAGTCGGCATAGCGACACTACATCAAGCACAGTGACATAATGCTTTTGGCATTTAAAAATAACAATACAAAAAATAACACAAAACAGTTTAAGAAGACCTTCACACAAGACCTCGTTTATTTATTTATTTTACAATTTTGTTATTGCTTCTTTTTTAAATAGCAGCTGATTAAACTGAATGTTACAACCTTGACATGATTATAAGAGTTGTTTTACCGAGAAATTGATCAGAAGCGCCGTGAAAATTCCAAACATATTTTAGCTGGCTGAAATAATCCGTTCCCCCTCCATAACGTGGGAACAAAATAATTTACCTGCAAGCCTTTAACTGTGTTTATTCCTCTTTTCATCAACAACAAATCCTGTGGATTTGGTGACATTTGATCATTATTTGCCAAAGTTAAAGGAGGGGAACCATATATTTTAGCTGTCTGAAATAATCCGTTCCCCCATAATATGGGAAAAAAATAATTTACATGCAAGTTCTTAACTCTGTTTTTTCCTCTCATCATCAACAACAAATCCTGCGAGTTTGAAAACATTAGCTAAATTTTTGCCAAAGTTATGAGGGGGAATCAGATATTTTAGCCATCTGAAATAATCTGT